GCTCTTCCCCCGGACGTTCTCAAGGCTCCCTCTTTCACCTCCAGACCTTCGCTCTGATGTTGCCTTCTCACTGACGCCTCCCCTGACTACCCTATTAAATTGCAACCCTGCCACACATTCCTGATCGCCCTTCCTGGTTTTATTTTTCTCCCAAGCGCTTACCACCAGCAGGTGTTTCACGTTTTACTTATTTTTAAAATCATGGTTCTTGTCTCTCTCCCACTGGAGTGGCAGCTCCACTAGGGCAGAGACTTTTCTCTGCTTTGTTCAGTCGTGTCCTTATCGTAAGTTGGATGGGTGGACGGATGATTGGATGGATGGTTGGCCTGGCTGCTGCAGTGTAGACAGCACACAGGCCATCGGGTTCATGCGTGAGGTGCCACCTGAGGTTGGAGGTGAGCAGGCCAGCTGAGAGCCCCAGTGGGCAGGCAATCTGGGTGTGAGGACCTAGAAGTGAAATTCCTGGAATGTCCTGGTACCTGTGGTAACTTCCTGGACAGAGCCTGGAGCGAGTGGGGTGCTGCCCCCGACCAGAACACGGCACTCTCCTGTTCTGACCCTGGCTGCCCCATCCCATAAGGAGGTGCCCTGTCATGGGGGCACTGGGCCAGCCCCAGGCAGCAGTGACATCCCATTCCTTGCCAGCTCCCAGCTCCCCCCTCCCCCCAACCTGGAGTGCAGCTCAGCCCCGGGAAGGGTGGCCATGATGCCTTCGTGAGCAGGACCAACACCCCCCTATCCGAGCAGGTGGGGCCCCAGGACGGTCCTTGGAGGCTCCCAGGGGGCGGTGTTTTCCACCAAGTCAGGCCTCCGCTGTGGCGCATCTCAGGTGGGGTCGGCAGGGACGTGGTCAAGGACAGACTCTGGCCTGCAGGTGACAAATGTCTGCTCAAACTGACTTAAGCAGAAGAGGGAATCCACTGGCTCAAAGTGCAAAGTGTGGGCGGGGATGGGGTCCTGGGGAGGCCCCCCTTGCGGCTTGGGTTCCTCTGTGCTGAGCGGCCTCACTCTTCTGAGCAGATCCGTTTGCCCAGCGGCTCGTACTCTCCCAGTTCCAAGTCCCGGGAGAAACAGAATTTCTTTTCCCAAACGGTTTCAACAAGTCGTGGGCCTGACAGCACCCGGGTCCCCTGCAATGGCAGGCGGATTCTTAACCACTGCGCCACCAGGGAAGCCCTGTGGTCAGTTTTTGACAAGACTTACCTGATCTTACAGGTGTCGCCCACCCCGCCCCTGCCAAGGCTCAGAACCCGTGTTCTAGATGGTGTGGATGGAGATGTTACCTGTTGCTCTGTGCAGTCATGGCCCCCAGCCCCATGTGGCCAGGACAGCTGAGGAGTGCAACATGTAATTTGTTGTCACCAGTTTGAACTTCCCAGCCATGTGTGGCTTGGTGGGGGGTCCCAGTGGACTGTTCCAGAAATCCAAGCTGGCCCCTCTGCTCCAGCCGGTCTCGCTGCCTCTTCTCTGACCAGGAAACTCCCAACTTGTCACCAGGCATCGTTGCCTCCGGTCACCTCTAGCTCCCTCGCTCTGCAAACCCGATGCATCCTGAGCTTGGCCAGTTCTAGGGCTTCTGTAGCAGCTGTTCATTCCCCTTGAGGGGACAGTGGGGACAAAGCCCAAGCGGCTGGAATGAGCTGGGGATGAAAGAAGAGATGGTGGAAGCTGAGGCCATGTGGCCAGGGGTGGCCTCGACAAGACAGGAAAACTTGTCTTCAGGCTAATGTACCCCAAAGTCACCCTGGGACCTGTGGAAGTGTCACCTCTCAGCCAGAGGAGACTTTGCACGTGGGGTTAAGGCCCCTGAGACAGGGATGACCCTGGATTCCCCGAGGGGCCCAGTGTCATCACAGGGTCCTTATAAGAGGGAGGCGGGAGGGTCAGAGGCAGAGAGAGACGGGAGATGCTGCGCTGCTGGCTGTGAGGATGCAGGAGGGGCCGCGAGCCAGGGATGCAGCGCCTCTAGAAGCTGGAAAAGGCGGAACCAATGCTGCCCTGGAGCCTCCGGAAGGACCAGCCCTGCCCACACCTGTGAGACCCACACAGTAGGGGTGAGGAGGGGATCCAGGCAGCTGGGGAGGGACCCTGCTCCCCCTGGGCAAGGCAGACCCTCTGCTGCCTGCAAAAAAGTCTGGGGTGCCTGGGCAGGTGAGGGGCCAGGGTTCTCCCAGCTCTCGTGCCCTGGCTTTGGGTCGGAAGAGATCGGAA